AAAAATATTTTTTTTTTTTTTTTTTTTTTTTTTTTTTTTACAAAGTATGTTAAGAACACATTTAAAAAAGAAAAATGAAAACTCACATGGTGTAAGCCTGTCCTCATCATGTGGAACTGGTCCACAAGCTTTTTGTGCAGAGGACGCATTTCTGGATGCACCAGTTTCTCATGAACAGCCAGCCCCACTCCAAGAATATGCACCTGATGTCAGAAAAGAAAAAAAAAACAAAAAACACGATGTTTCTATTTCCAAAGCATTCTAAAATCTACTAAAGTATTTAAATTGAGTCTGACCAGCTCCTGCATGAGATCCTTCAGATGCGTGATTCGCTCTGTGTCCTCGGGGTGACTGCTGATGTAGTCTTTATCGAAGAAGGCCTTTTGCAGAGAATCAAACAAAAGATAAAGATTTCTCTCAGCAACAGCTCTCAGCACTCATCACTTTCACACTGGCTTCCCGTTCATCTCTGCCCTGCAGCTCTACCTCCTGATATCTGGCGATGCCGCCGTTCACAGCAGCATCTATGACGCCGTTGAGACACATGCTGAGCGGGTTGATGTTGCCGTGATGCTGCCTGTGTTGGTACTGGCTGATCAAAGTCCGCAGCTCCTGGGTCTTGTTCTCCACAACGTAAATGGCGTTCTCGAGTGGGCTCACCTCCACCTGAAAACACAGATAAAGCCGACGTTAAAGCTGCCGACGCGTCCGATGCGAAGCGATGCGTTGCACGTTTGATATGAGCCCACCAGTTCTCTCCTCTCCACCTCTGCCCAGCGGGCGATCCCAGGGAGAGGACGAGCCAGAATCAGGGTTGTTCTCTCGATCCACAGACTCTGTTGAAGATGCAGATGAAAAGCCGCGGTTATTCTAACGGCGTTGTCTAATATTAGTTAAACCCAGTGGGCATCTGACTGTGTTTTGCAGATAAAAAAAAAAAAAAAAACCCGGGCAGGCAGAAACACAGTTGTAGACTGGTGACCTACATGCTTAACACTTTGTGCGGTTTGATTTTAAATCTGGGTTACTGTGTCACGCAAAACTACAATATTATGCATAAGCAAGTCTCTGAAGTGCCCCAGGCTGTTTATTTTTTTTTTACTTTTTAGCTGTAGTAAACACTATTTACGGTTTTGAAAGAACCAATACCTCTTCAATAATTCAGGGAAAGCAGTTAGATCTTTCAGTTTTCAGATTCTGCCTACAAATGTTATATAGTAGTTGCGATTGGGTTCGAGAGGATTCCAGCTGTATTTTACACATTAAATGTTTCCACAGATGTTTGTGAAATCCGATCATGTCACTCTTCGTCTCTGAACCAAAATCAGTGTCCACAGTCTGTCCGATCACTATAAAGGTGTAAATGTTCCTATAAAAACTCAGTTAGTTCTGGGAAAAACGTCAGAAATGTCAGCTAACACTAAAAGAAAAACTTTCAAACATACTGAGGTAAAATATACACATATATGGTTTACATTTCATGAACGTCTGATGATGTTTTGTGTTTAAGCAAGGAAAACCAAAATACCTGATAACTGAAGTAAAATGATCTTTGACTACAATTCTTTGCTTTGTGATACAGCTTGACAAACCACTTCTCATTGGCTTTCAGTTCTAGTCTTTCATTTTACAAGCAACCCGATTCATTTATTTGATAATGTAATAACTTCATTTTAAACTAGGTTTTGCTAGATGAAGTATTGCTGTTTCATTGAAGTTTTAATTGAACATTTACATATCCGGCACCCTTTACAGCACTGTTGTGAATCATGGTTCCAAGCCAACTGATTGTACAGTTATATAATTATACAATATATAGAGGAATGTGGTGAAATGACTGGATTGTAAAGGCAACAATTGGATTGGCTAGGTTATATGTTGGATTATGATTGCATATTAAGTGTGCCTGTTTGTCTTGTGACGTTAAATGATGTTTGTTGTGAATTGACACTGTTTAAGTAAACTGAATACAATTAGATCCCACAGAAATTAGGTTTGTCCTGAATAATCAAAATAATTTTGCATTTGAACTCTGTTTTAATAAAGACGTCTTTATTTTTTAAATACTGAATGGAAAAACATCCAGCACAGTTCATCTCCAAAACTGTATATCTTAAATGCTTGTTAATATAGTGGCTTAACTGGAAAAAAACCAGACAAAACCCCTGGTTTATTTTAAGTAAAAATAAAAAATAAAAAGCTGGTGGCTTCCACTGTGGCCACCAGGGGGCGTTACACCAACCTAAATCAACTGAGACGTTTATCACTGCTGCTTTAATTACCTGCTGTTTCAACACTTAGATCCATTTCAAGTGCTAAAAGGCTACACCTGGACTATTACTGTTCTGAATAAAGCCTGAGCTGAGCTGAGAGTGTCAATCCTCCTCATACCCTGAACTCATTCTCCCGGTCCTTAGGCCCCTTGTGGAAAGGCCTGTCATGGTGGAAGCGGCTGACATTGTTTATGCGGTAGAAACTCTTGATCCTCTCAGGCACACGCTCCAGCTGAGGCACATCAGAGATGTCTGAAACTGGAGTCACTGCGTAGATCTGCAAGTCTAGGGAAGCCACGCGTCAAGGAAGAGACAGATGAAGGGAGATGAAAAGGAAAATGCTTTTACTGCCCGACTCTGGAGGAACAATGACAGATTGAGGTTTAGTTGTTGTTTTTTGTTTAATATGCAACATTTTTCAGTCATCATTAACTTTTTCTATTCACACAAAACATCTTTATCTCTGAGTGGCGGCACCAACGGTAGGGAAGTTATAAGGATACACTGGGCGTCGCTCTGCAGGATGGTGTCATCAGGCTGGTTTGTGTGCTGCATTGCAATGGCTTGTGGAAATTCTCCCAGCATCCTCTGCTGGAAATCCTCGAGCCGTTCGTAGTCGTAACCGCGGCAGACAAACTCCTTATTCTGCAGAAAAAAAGCAGGGAAGTGTTCAAACCTCACACAAACCCTGTACCTCTTACTCTGTTTAAAATCTGTAGCCCAAGCCTGCTGGATCTGAAATTAACTTCCCCTCATCTTTTTTTTTTTTACTGTTTCAGCACCAGCAGCACAAGCTGCTGAGCTAGCAATACTCACAAATTTCAGTTTTTTACTATTAAAAGAAAAACAGCCAACATTATACATTGACATAATATATTTCACACTAAAGTTGTAGTTTTAAAATGAAAAACCTTTTCTCTAGAGCAGTTAAGAAGCGGCTATTAATGACTGCACGCACCAAATTTAAAACAATTACTTATTTTCAATCCTCCAATGAACTGGCTGCAGCCAAACCCCAACCATAAACATCAACAACTTAATTTGCAAAGTGCATAAACACCAGCCGCAGCTGAAACAAAGTGCTGAATATGAGAGATAGATGAGATAAAAGAAAACATTAAATGAATTTTAAAAATTCTACTGAACAAACAAAGCAGTAAAACTGATCAAAATAAAGTAAAATCTAGTCTCATTTGGGTTAAAGGCAAATGAGTAAAATATTTTTAGACGAGTTTTAAAACTGGACAGTGAAAGGGCCTGTCAAATTTATAAGCGTTCTTTAACTTAGGGGACTCGATATAGAAGGTCTTCATCCCTCAAAGCTTCCACTGGGAATGACCAGAAGCAGCTGGTCAGCAGAGCCAAGTGACCAGGTGAGAAGCTGTATTAAATAAGGCGGAGCGAGGCTGTTTAAGACCTTAAAAACAAATTGTAGGATTTTCTTTTATGTGTTCCTGCCAAAACCGCGCAGCAGCTGCAAACAAGTTTAACATTAGATTTAAACAAGTTGCAGATCATCTTTTCTACACGTCAGCAGACAAGCAGACATGTCCACTATCCCATTAGTTACATGTGGGAATAACAGACACGGTTTCCTGCTGTAATGCGGATTTCCGACCACTGCAGTCTCTTACCCTGAGGAAGAAAGGAAACTTCCTCCCATAGAAGCCCATCTTAAAGAACTCCGGCTCGATCCTCTGCTGTTCGATGATGTTGTCATAATACGCTGCCTCCATTTTCTGTGACACAAAGACAAACAAGCAGCGGAGCCATGATGAATAATAATTTAATCACACACTTTGCTGAATCCTCTGCTCTTCCAGAGGCGCGTGGGCGTGCTCAGGTAATTGGGACGTTGTGTTTGCACTTCACACCCCACAACCGAGCATCACGGTGACAGAGGGAGCTGAAAATCTTTCCTTACAGCATCACAGAGGATGCTTGTTTGATGGCAGCAGCAGCAGCAGCAGCAGCAGAAACGCGTAGCGTGAGGCACTTTACTTACCCGTATCCAGCTGAGACTCTGATAATCATATAAAGTCTCATACTGGAAAGCCAGCTCCCGGCAGAGAGAGATCCCATATTCCCAGCACTGTGGAGATATAAAAGAGATAATGGAAGAATGAGAAATGAATCTAAAATAAAAAATAAAAAATAAAAATAAAAAAACACCATTAAAATGATCAATGTTGTCATTATATTTGTCTGTTGCGTGTAAGGATTGACGAAGATGGTTTTGATTGAACAGAAGCTTTTACTTGAGAAAAATTTCTGGATACTCCACCCACTGTTAGCAGCTTGATTGAATGAAGAACAAACATGTTTTAACTGGCAATGTAAGAAGCATCTTTGTTCATGGCAAAAGAGGGAAGTAATTAGATTTTATATTCTAAAATTGTAAATTGACACTGCGCTACCCTCCATTGGGGTTGGCTGTGGATGGTGTAGTTTCACAAAAATGCTAGAACCAATGATACGTTGGAGTTTTAACTCTTTGCTCTCCTTAATTTCATCAAAAAGCAGTTTCTGAGTTGTACCAAGGGAAAGCAGCAAGGTTAATTTCCAAATCTTTACATTCCTTCTGGTACCAACTTGCTGGGTGCTTTTTAACCAACACATTGAGCTATTTTTATCCAGTAAAAAATTTTAACACTCACTGCTTGAGGAGTCTCTATAATTTTTTTTCCCCTTCATATATAGCAATAACTGCAGGAGAAGGCAATAAGTTAATGAAAGATGACAGTTTTATTTCTTTTCAGCTGCTACCTGGGTCCACTGGGCATTTTCCTCTGCAGAGCATACGGGCCGGTCAACTAATTTAATTTTGCGGATGAACACCGGCCAGGGAGGAGAGGTTTGGGAAAGAAAATTACATTTCAACTGATTGCTCTTCCTCAGTATGAAGCACTGGATTAGTGCAAAAACTTTTATGTGAGTCATTTACATAGCTCCCTACAACATATACAAATACATCAGAAATTAGCTCCATATCGACCTGTTCAAACATTAAAATCAAGCATTAAATAGTTGTTTATATGATTAGATATTTGTAAGTGTCATACTAAGAAACTGGACTTACTTTAAAAGATACTTAAACTTGTGTGAACAATGCAATTCTGCAGCATATAATCCACTAAGAAATGTTGTTTTCGTAACATGTAAGCCTTTGGCAAATGATCAAGGAGGAAAAATGAAAAAGTTAATGATCAGCTGCACGTTCATGATGAAAATGTAACAGCCCTTCAACAACAGAGACAAAGAATCTTAAACAGAAACAGTACCAGCAACAAGGGTTCTCAAGTCCAGTCCTTGAGACCTACCAGCCTGCCTCCCTCCTCCAAAAACACCAGAGTCAGATATCTGAATTCCCTCACCAGCAGTAATTCAGCTCTGCAGAGTTTCTGCTAACAAGTAGTTCATTTGATTCAGGTGCTGGAGAAGTGGGATGATAGCACTCAAGGATTGGACTTTGGCACCCCTGAGTTTCAACCTTCTCCTTTCTATTTAACCACACAAATCTATTGATTTGTGTTTGTGTTTCAAACCAAATACAAATCATGTTTGGTTTGAAAAAAAATATCAAATTTACGTCACCGCAATTTTTTCCCTTTCCTCACAGTAAGAGACAGTAAAATGACTCAGACTGGAGAGCAATTAAATCATTAAGAAATGTAAGATATAAAAGACACAGCTGCAGAAAACAGAACAAAACAAAAGTCACTCGCCTTTCCCTTGTTGAAGTAGTGAAGGATTTTACGACTCAGGTTTTCTTTGCGTTGCCACTCGCTCTGACAGGGGTAGTGGAGAAAATCCCTCAGAGGCCGGTCCTCCCACTGCAGCAGCTCCCAGTACAGCAGCAGAGTGAACGCTGCCTCTGTTAACGAATAACAAGTGAACAAATGCATAACTATGTTTGATACAGCAAAGTAACATGAAGAGACGATGTTTTTTTTAGAGTAAAGAAAAGCAGAAATTTATAATCAGCATTTTTTTTTCAGCAACAGATGGTGTACGACCTGAAACACAGTCAGTGGCAAAAATACACAAGATGGCCTGAGCAACATGACTGTATGCTGGCAAGACAGAAAGTAGAGGTGGAAAGAACATTAAGGATGTTTAAATATTTCATTTCCAGGATCAGAAAGTTGTTAAAATTACAATATGTTTCAAAACACACAACAAAATCAGACTTTTTTTTTATTTTTATGGACATTTAAATTTCCATTAGCACACAAGATCTCAATAACCACTTCTTCCAAGACTAGAGATTTTCTGTAGCGTTCCAAAGGTCCAATGCCACCCAAGCTTTAGCTTCCTCACAGGAAATTTATATCCTCATTTAATATTTTACCATTTATTTATTTTTATGTACCTTTATGTGTAATGTAGCAGTGCATCGCATGCACATTACCTATGTCTTAAAAGCTTCTTTTTGCTTCTATGAACACCTGACATGAAGAAACCAGTACATGAAAACCAGAAAGATTCAATGATAATATGCAAACTTTAGCCTGAGAAGCTTAGAAATGAACCAAGAACATTCAAACAAAGCAAAGCAACAGCAAAAACAACTGTACCACTGTACATCTGCACAGACAGATATCGGTTAACATTCCTCTACGCACACACTAAGGGCTTGAAAGATGAAACCAGACATAATTTGGTGCCTCTAAAAATAAACATTTGCCCCCTTTACTTGTAGGAAATATCTGAATGAACCAATCAAGGCACACAATTGAAGCTTTCCCTTCTGTCGCCCGGGTGGGAGGAGGTCTGTTCAGCTGTTTCAACACAACAGAACTGCTTGTGCTTAAATTAGAACCAAAGGTCTATTTTTAATCTGAGAACGTGCCTATTCTGTAGATCCGCATTTCATGGGAAGAAAAAAAAAAAAAAGTCCACCAACGTTTTTATTCTGGCGAATTACGTGACTAAATGCCGTCTGTTTGAAAGAGTTTACATTCAAAATGTTTTGTGTTCAAATTAACACCAAGCTGATGAAGAGCCCTCATGTTGTTTTAAAAGTTCAGAGTGACAGACTGTGGTTTGCCTTTGTCATTGGTTCAATGCATAAAATACGCAGTCATAAAAAATATAACATACTATAAATATTCCAGTGCTGTTGTGTTGCAAGCCTTGAATGTGTTTTGTTAGCCACCCTTCGTGACCCACACTGTTCACTTAAGGGAATAGCTCCCATCCCCCACCATTGTGTCTCTTACTGTTCACCATGTGGCTTACTTCTGGCTGTGTTTGTGCCCCGGATCCCTTGATGTGTGTTTCAAGCAGTGACACGGAAAACGAAAATCAGGCCCAGTCATGAGGAAAACTTGCATGAGTGTCATTTAGTGTGTTGACACATCAAGTAAGGCACTCTGGAACAGCTTTAGAGTCGCAAGGTAAAAGCACACGCCATTAGAGTGCAGCTCAGAAGTGCAGATTGCAGCAAAATATCAAGTCAGCAGAGCCACAACTAACGCATGCAAAAGAGAGAGGAGGAAGAGCAACATCCATGGTAGACATGGAGCAATCAGAATTTTGTGGTTGGTTCTGGTAAGAATCGACCTGCCAACATGAATTTCAGCTGATTAAAGATAACAGGACTCACAACGTCTTTCTTAGCCTTTCTTATCCGGTGAGCAGTCACGGGTTTTTATATCAGAGCAAATAGGATGTCATGCCACTTGTGTCGTGCCAGGTTTAGTTTTTCTTTTTTTTAATCAATGAAAACTATTCTATAGTTCAAAATAAATCAAAATAACAAAACTTGTAACAGTTAATCAATGTTTGTGCTCTAAATGTTACAGCAGATTTAAAAAAAATAGCAAAATATTGGTTGCTACACTGATATATGCAAAATGTCTAATTTACTAGTACTTTAATGGCACCCTGTGCAACTCTCAAGGACAAATTTATTTAATTGTAGTAGAGAAGAAATAACACTGTTTACATCTAATTACTATTCTTTACATATAAATGTGCTAATTTCCGGAAATAAATAGGAAAATATTACAACATTCATTATGTCACCATAATAACTGTATTTCACAAAATAAGCATCAATAAATTCAAGGTCATAATGTTATATTTGCCAACAAGCATGTATAGTGTTGATAATATTTGAGCTGTGTAATGGATCGACGTGTCTTTAATGACTCATATGGAAGCAGCTACAGTTTGTGAGTAGCACTCTTTAATGCCACGTCCTCAGCCTGTTGCATATAAGCTGCAAAGTTCCCCTGATTTTCTGCTTACAGGACTGAAAGGGGGGATTATAAAATACAAACTGCACAGTAAATCTTTTTCTAAGAAGTAATAATAAATAATAAATCCAAGAATGAAAGAGTAAATGCCAGAAGCACATAATTATCTACCTGACATTTAGGCCATGAATTTAATCAAGGGAGTCTCTGTACTCTTGTTTGATTTTTTAAGGTTGGAAGTCTCCTATCTATTAACATGTTCATCTGCGTGGGAGCAAATAATAAAATGGGGGTTTGAAACCAGGTTTTATAATTTGATGCCCCATCTTCCTTTTGCATGAAGAGAGAGAGAGAGAGGAAAAACAGAGACAGAGAGAGAGAGAAGACAAAGAAAGAAGAAAAAAAAAGAAAGACATCTATTCGATATCCAAGTTCAAGTGAAAAAAAGTTACACCTGCATAGAATGTTTTTATTTTACTTTATTTTGCTTTTGTTTTTGGCTTTGTTATTAAATGCCAAAGGTCAAAATTAGAATTGTGCATTTTATAATTATCTATTAATATTCATTTATTTCTCTCTCAGTTTGATACAACAGTTCAATTACAAAAAGGATTTTGTTTCCCATCGGCAAGTTAATGTTTTTCCAACACTCTTATTTGTAAATGGCCACACTTGTAAGGTGCCGTTATCAATAGGATTAGCACCACTGATTCAGTAGCACTGATCACGTTTCTCCAGTGCAAATGTCATACTTTGAATGCCACAATTTGAAACTTGACTGACACACTTAGTTATTACTCCCTTTCCCTTTGTGTGCAATAGGAACGCTGAATCTATTGTGCTCTTGATATCAACAGACACAATATTTTTAGGGTCAATAAAGCAGAGCTCGCCTTCAATCAAAATGAAATTACGTAGTTGTACCATAAAAAATCAGCTGCTAAAAGGTTCTACAGCAGCTAGTATCAAAGTGAGCGTTGAGTCGTACCAAACTATGTGACAAAAACGTACTTGCAGTCTGAAGGTTACCTGTGAAATCCTCTGCCTGAAGATGCAGGTCACTTAGTTTGTGGATGTAGCGGATGTACATGTCCTCCTTGTTCACCTCTGATTTGTAGAAGTTCTGATGTTGCAGTAGAACAAGAAATAAAAAGCAGGTCACTTTTCCCCTTTTACGAAATGATCACATAAGATCGAAAGTGTAATGAATGTCTCACCATAAGGTTGACTGAACCGCTGATCTTCTTGTTCTCCATCTCGTCCCCTTTCATGCAGTCCCTGGAAGTGCAAGTTCCCTTTTTAAAGCCCTGAAAACAACATCATTATAGCACGTAACTTTACTTTAGCATACCTGTAATCAAGTATTCTCTCAACAAGTCTTGTGACTGATGTCACAAATGAGATGCCAGTTTCCCTCCATGTCTCCTGCTCAATCTTCTCCAGCAAGCTGGAGGAAAACACACATTGACCACAGATATTAAGTACAGGAAGCAAATGCCAGCATCGTTCAGCTTTTGGAAGTGCAAAAGTTATTCTTCACCTTGGATAAGGACCAAACAGCTGTGTTCTGTTGTGATAAAAGAAACAAAAAACAACAGGGAAAAAAATTAAAAATCTTAAAGAAACAGAATATTTCCTTCATAGTCTCACTGAGCATTTGTTTGAAACTCACAACAAGCTGAAGAGCTCTCTGTGGTTGTCATCGCCTTTCCCATCCGACACCATGCTGTCCAGCTTATCCATCAGCTCTGCCTCCACCTGGAGTTACGAACGTCCAGGAACAGGTGCGTTGTGTGACAAAGAGCTACGTAAGGACAGGGCACACACTCTGGATTTCACAACAAATCAATTTTATACTAACTTGTTTGAAATTCCCATTTTTCCTTTGCTCCCAGTCCATCATATCATGAAAAATTGGGATCATAATATTCCGGACCTCGGTCTGAGGAACTAAGGTGACACCAAGGAAGGGTCCCATCATTCCTGGGATGAAGTGTGGCTTGTTGTCACCTAGTTGAAATGGATTGATACAGACAGAGGTGTTTGTTGAACAACTCTGCTAAACATATAAAGAATACAAACACAATGGTGTTTTAAGCCACACTGAATTTCTTTAAACTGTTCTTATGAGGCCTCAAGACTTTGTAAAATGATACCGATCCTTAGATCTTTAAGGGGTTTTGAAAATCCCTTAAAATGTTATAATTTCTCTGTGACTGTAACAGAATGCAGTGCAACATGGGTAAGCTTAATTAAATATGTAAATAGGTGGAGAACAAAAGCACAAAATAAGAAAAGAAGAAACGTCAAGCCTAAGATATAGGGAGATAAATACTGCTGTGAAGCAATGTGGAAGCTCCTAAAGAATTGGTCTTAAATGGTGCTTTTGTCAAAGACCGCTGCAAACAAAATGCCTAAAGATGCTGCTTAAAGTTTCTCTTCATATTAATATTTCTATGTGTTGACAGGAAACAGCTTCATTCTTTAACTGCATTAGCCTTTTGTAACCGCTGAGTGACTCCTATTTCTGCATGAAGTAGTGAAAAATACAATAAAACATAAAGAATTGTTGCTCCACATTTGTGACTAAGCCTGACTTTGGAAGCAAAATATTAAAAATAAATCATAATACATTTGCAATGTACTACACATACCTCACTTAAATTATTATTGATGAAGTGAGCGACGGTTGACCCACCTAATTTCTGCCACATGCTGAAGAGCTCATATGCCATTATTACTCTCAAATCCCCATGCCTACAAAAGGAGATTTAGAAGTGAGTAATAAGATACATTGTTTGAAATCTGATAAAAATAACAATAATAATAATAATAATAATGCACATGCTTATTTTTTAGAATTTGAGAGAGGCTTTTACTTGTCCAGGGTTTTCTTTCTCTTGGCAGGAGGGAGTGCTTCCAGCTGCAGACTGGGCTGGTTGATGTAGAGGACAGTGAGGCTGAAAAAGGAGTTCCACACCTAAAATACAAAGAGAAATCCACATAATTAGCAAGTAATACCATTTAAATGATTACATAAAAAGCATAAAATATCTAGTGGTTTTATGGAGTTATGGGTTTTCATCGTTTGCAAATGCACAGACACACCTTGAAATCAAAATCTCCCTCGGAGAAGTTTTTGTGCAGCGCCGGAGACAGAAACTGAGTCGTCACTACGATGACGCTGCAGAAATACGACAAAGTGTAAAGTAAAAACAAGCCGGCTGCCAAAAGGCGAATTTAAACACTTGCAACACAAGCATCACCTTCGGATGAGTCTCTGGATTAGAGAGCTGGCTTTGTTCACTCACCATCTGCGGGATAAAAACCGTACAACAGAAGCAAAGAAGCAATACTTACTGGCTGGTTAGGAGACGCATGACGCTCCAGTCTCTGGGGAAGATAGTCAGCTTCATCAGGTTTCGAAAAACACAGAAAATCTTCAACAGAAACTCCTGCGGGAAAAGAGGCAACAAAAATCTGCTCAGTCCAAGTGTGCAGCCAACAGACGGCAGTACAAACTTTCCCTGATGTCAGCTCAGGTCTGAAACTGAGAGAACTGAGCAAAGACGTTATCAGACTTTTAGACTCTCTCGCCTTTAGTTCCTCCTTGCTATGGAAACTGTTGAGAAGGTGGTGGAAGTGGATCTCTGTCATCTGTCTGAGGAGAGAAAGGAGGCAGGAAACGTACTCCCCCTGCAGAGAGAGAGAGAACAAGTACGAAAACACATAAATAAACCTGCTCAAAATAATGACTAAAGTTTGCGGAGTTTTGTTATCATCCTTCAAAGGGGCAGATTGAGTGAAGGCTTACCGTTATCTCCGCGGTGCACTGGGGACAGCGTTGTCCTCTGGATGTCTCCACAGAATGAGATTTGCTCATGATGGACAGCAGAGTCTGCAACAGCACATCCAGAAGGCTCTCCACCATCATTTCCACTTCTTCTTGAACAGAGGACTCCTGAGAAGACAGTCAAATTAAAAGAGGATGAGGAAAACTTTAAACCACCATGAAGTATGTGATTGATAAAGTATGGCGCCTAGGCTACATTCACACAGCGGGTCTTCTGATGGGCAATCAGACTAGTAATTTATTACTACTGCAGTCACACTTCTGTGTGAACAGTTTATGACCCCAAAGCAACCCGCATTCTCAAAAGTAATAATGGATCGATTAATTTGATCCATCTGTGAATCGATTTAAAAGTTGTTGAGCAACGGGAGCCAACGTTGCTCAACGTTGAGCCAACGTTGAGCTCAACGTTGTTTTTCCTTCTTCATAAAAAGAAGGAAAAAGCTGAGAAAAAATTAAAGTATAACTACTAGCAATGGCCTTTCGTGGAGCACTGATGTCAACTTCTGTAGACTAGTCTATTTGGAAATGCAGTCAGATGACGTAAAGGTCAGATAAATGCAACATGATCGTTCTGACTGCAGATGCTTTGAAAACTATGTATGCATGTACTACGTATTCAATTTAGTACCACAAATGGAAGTAAAAGATCGAAAGAAGGACAGAAGGAAGGGTAGCAGTAGGATGAAAAATAGCGTATGGAAATAAAAAAGGGTTTCTGATCTCTATTTTAATGTGTCATAATTATTTGGACCTGGAAAACCTTTAAATAAAGTTCAATAGTTCTCTGTACTTACACACACTGGAATACTAAGCTTAGTAGAACTAAGTAACCCTGTAATTATGGACTTGGTAAAGTGTACTGCACCATGGAGCTGGTCTTGATTATTGAAAAGATGCTGCTCAGGATCCCAGAACAAATGAGCAGCTCCCTCTGCTGGCGCAGATGTAGATGGATGTGATGCAGGACGACTGGCAGCAGAATACTCCGGGACTCTGAGGCAACAAGCAGTGGGGGAAAGCAAGCAGAGAGCGATGAGGCGAAAAGCAAGATTATTGTGAGGTAAAAAACAAAAAAAAAAGATCCTAAATCCTTCATGTTTGTCTCACCAGGAAAGAAGAAGAGTCGGCTTTCAACTGTACGAGCAATCGACTGAAGTTTGACCACGTCCATGGACTGACCAATGTCCACTGTGCTGGGCATGCTCCCTAGTGTGCCCCTGACATATTCAGCTACCTCCTGAACGGTGAACATCTGCAGCAGCTCATCGAAGATGTCTGGAAAACTGTTCAACAGTGCAGCCTATGGGGGCAGAGGGCGACACTAAGAAATCATTTACAGCACACACATATGAAAAAGTGTCTGCATGAACACCCTAACAATGACACTTAACATTTAAAAAGATATAAAATATACAGCAACATTATAATACTTAAAATAAGTAGAACAAGCAGATTGCTACTGATTCTACATGACTTTTCTTCAATAAAAGCCAAAACTATAGTTTATCTATATTGTTTAAAACAAAACCAGTTTCTGAAAAAAAAAAAAACATCCTGTTGGAGAGGGCTGATGGCTTCACATCAACTGCTGCATTGTGGATCCAACACATGGGGGCGCTGTAACTTACTGAAAAGGAGGAGAGTCAGGAATTATGACCGCAGAAAAGCGTGCAGCTGGTCACGCCTCTAAAGTGTCCAGGATCAAGCCATGGACAGAGCAACAGTGACAATAAGGCACTGAAGCCTCAGTTAAAATAATATCTAAAATAAAAATTACACCAACACTAATACGACAAAACACAAATGAACAAAAATCATTCTATAACAACAGCATAACCAAAGGAAATATATAACAAAATGACAACTGGTAAAAGAGGAAAAGGACTTTTTGTGAAATTAGAATATCACTGAAAAGATCATTTATGGTAGAGAAGGAAAAAAATAATAATTTTATACACATAAAGTGATCAACTTTAAGTGCTGATTAGGGTTTACAGCTAATAAAAAAACAACTAAAGTTTACTAGAATATCAATAGAAAGCATTTAAACAGAAATGTCATGTTATGGTCGACATGATTATGGAGAAGTGTGCTTCCTTCACAGTCTTTGAGATTCTTCACAAGGAGGCTAAGCAACAACATGCCATTGATAATATGTTGCCTTTTTACTAAATCTTGTTGGAAAATTGACTAGAAGGAAAAAGTATGACACAATTGTCACCATCCTCATGTCAAACCACTCCTGAACTAGAGACAAAGTCAGAGACATTGTACCTGAGCTAAGAAGAAAAAGGACTACACTAATGCTCAGAGATCCAAAGTCAAGTTTTCAGATGAGGATCACAGTCAAGAGGAATATGATAGACCAATTAATCTGGACAATTTGGATGCTACTATAAATAAAACAACCCTCACAGGAATATGTTTCTATTTGCGATACTCAACGATAAATCAGCCGGAAACATGAAATGCAAACACTTGAAATGTACCACCGTGCTTGTAATAGCATTGTCACCTCCGAAGCGGTTACACATTTGTACCGTGTGTATTTTGAACCCCAAACAGTGAAAACGTTTGACAGGATGTGTCTAACCTGTGTGAAGACAAGATTCTCTGAGCTGCGGCTGTCCAGACTCAGGACAAAGCGGATTGACTGGAAAAGCTCCTGGATGCTGGCCCTGAACTGCTCCTCCTCCATCCCACAGGTGGCCCTCGAGTACAGGATGCGAGACTGGACTATGAACTTGAACAGGTACTCCAGTGCCTGTGGTGAATTAAGTGCAGGATACGGACGGAGACAAACAATCAGATAACCCACCGTACATGTCATCTCATACTTTTAGATCCCTGGCAGAGGAAGCAGGCCTGACCACCAAATCAGTTTAAGGTTAAAAATCAATATATGAAAGAAATGATTGCAATCGGGCAGCGCGGTGAAATATCTTTTACCATTATCTTGTCACAAAGGCCACATGAAAAGGCCGCACTCTTCCCATCAATACCCGCAGAGCTTCACAATGACTTCCTTTCAAATAAATTGTGCAGGGAATTTACTCCCCGAGTTCCTCCTGTGGTGTTGCATTACTTCTTATCAGCTCCGTTTCTGTTTGACCATTTCCTCTTTCGGAGCTAATTAATCCCCACTGAAGGAGCCTGATCGGAAGAAGGAGGAAGCGAGTGTGATACTTTACCCTCATCGCTTCCTGTATGTGGTCCTGCCGGACTACCTCAGCCGAGCGGTCCATGTACCACTTCAGGCATCGAATCAACTCTCTGCAGACAAATTAGCTGGAGTTAAGAAACTTCACAGACATCATAAATGAAAAAAAAAAAAAAAAAAGTTTTAAACAAGCTGCAGATTGAGAGAAGAATAGGGTCAGATTTGCTTTACTTGTACGCCAAAGCGCCGGCAAAGTGGTTTTGGATGTAGGAGTCTATTACTGGTCTGAAGTGGTAGAACCGGCTGTCCCTGAGCAGGTTAATGATGAACACCTGAGCACACAGATATACACGTTACATCCCATCTCCTCTGCAGAAAAGTCACAAGACATGATTTAAAGTGTGAGCGCAGCTGCGTTCTTTGGATGCCCCTACCAGAGACTGGAAAACGAGCGGTCCGTATTTGTCCGTGTTGTCATCTAAAAGACAGAAAAGTGTATCCAGGACATCTCTCAGGAACTGCGATGGGGGAAAAAGTAATAATGTCAAAACAACTGTGGCATGATCTAAAACAGAATCAAAAGAACCTAAAAAAAATTATAGCCCCTTCGGTTTAAAATGTAACACGTTTTCATTTATTCTGAAATTATAATATGACCTAACAGCAGTCTTAAATGCATTTCCATGTATTCAGAATATGAAAGATGTAGAAAACACTTTTTTTAATCCCATCAGTGTCCGTGAGTTTCCGATCAGTAATCATTGAATGTTGATGTCAACTTTCTCATAGCCATTCGTCGTACTGACCCTGTGTGACCCTGTGCTTTTACAAGATTTTTTTTGGTGTGGTTTTGGAAATTGACGGTCTGACGGGACAAGCCCCTCCCCCCTCACCCACTTCCCCGCTGTCTGACCGTGACGTTTTCCGCTCTCTTCCTGAGTGTCACGCTAAGGCTGCTGGAGGGTTAAACGACTTGGTTACATAAAAGATGTGGTCGACTCTACTTGAAAACTGGAAATGGGTCTTCATTGTGTCTTTCTGATGGATTACGATCTAAATCATATGGCCACTTCAGATCACAAATGGTTCACCGGGCACAAAATTAACCTTCTTCAATAGGCTTCGCAGCCCCCAGATATAAATCTCATAGAAAACCTGAGCAGAGCTGAAGAGAAAAAGAGTATGAGAGAAAATCTCTGCATAATCGATTGAGAGATTGTGCAAAGAAAAAAGGTGAACGATTACTTTCTTGGGAAATGTTAAAGATTAGTCTAAGTGCTCTTCTATCGACAAAAGGAGATTTCAAAACATATAAATAGCAAGAATGTCAATAATTCTATGTACTGCATTTTATTTCATGTAAAATTCCCCACTGTACTCAAAGGTTCAATTATTCTTTTTATTTTTCAGTTTCAGATTGTTTGACAGTAAAACAGATAAACGTGTTTCTCGAGGTTGTAACATTTTTTACCAGGAATGCCAGTGATGGCGAGAATCGCTGCATAAAATTAAGAAAGAAGGTAAATAATCCATTCATTCCTCATCGTCTCAGAAATAATGGTGTGATGACCTTCACAATCTCCTCTCCGCTGATCTGTCGCAGTCGACCGAGGATGTCCAACACCCTGTCCGGATGGGCCTTCCAGTTCAGGAGGGCCAGGAGGTCCACTAAAAATTAAAGTAAACCAACATTTGCCGAGTTGAATCAAGTATGAAATATGGAGGACTGGTGTGTTAGCTGGTAAATTACCGTTCTGAGTGAGTTTTGTGGAGCAGAGGATGGTGGAGACCCAGAATGTTTCTTTAGGGCTCCTCTGGAAAGGCAGGTTGGCTGGCAGGTTGGGGCAGCTGTTGAAGTCCTCCTTGCAGCAGGGGAGGCTCAGGTACAGCCCCTGGTTGCTGAATGTGGCATTTTCATCACACTAATGAAGGACGGACATGGGAAAGGACTGCTCAAGTTTGGAAAAACATTTCACAGCAAAACGACCTTTATAGGAACTTCATGAATGTTTTGGTTTATTGATGTGTTTCATAGTTGCTTGTAGGGCAAATTCAGCATATTAGTAGTGTGTCACTGAAAAACTAAGACAATTAATTATTAATTTGAAATGTGACACTGAAATACATTTTAAACATAAATTGAATAAAGAATACATTTTTTAAGAAGCAATAGATATTCATCTAAAATCCTAATATATGCACACATTGAAAGAGTGCAGAGAATACTTACACTCAACAGACCAAGAGCCTGTACTTTATCTATTATTAATTCAGAAATAGAAGCAACAATTCACTTTCATTTATATAAACAAAAATAAAAATAAGCAGGTAATTGTTCGTGACGTCTTTAGTTCTAGCAGTTATTAAGTAACAGGTTCTCTGGTTTTGGCCATAAACTCAATGAACCTGTTTTGTGAGTCGCATGTGAGTTCAAAACCATTTAGTTTATTCAATGAACCAGATCATTTCTGCAGAAAACTGGTGGGACACCACAGACTAACTGCAGAAAAAGGTAATAACCCTCGCAATGCACACATTTTCAAGTAAGTGCACCGTTTAAATATTTATCATCTAGGATTCCAAAAAAAAACAAACACAACAAACTGGAATTATTTGGTATCTAAAACGTAGATGTTAATCACTTGAATACTCTTATAGTGTTAGTAATTACACAGCAACTACTATAGATATACAATTATTTATTTTATGGCTTCAGCGTGTTTCTGAACCACTTCTTAGAGCTACAATACATGCTAGCATGTTAGCACCTGCCCGTCTTTCTAAGCATTCTTTGGAGAACAAAGTGTCCAGAGTTGAGAGAGATCAGACTGCACAAGGTAAGACAGATAACACAAGAAAATGACAGACAACAGCCCTGGGCCAAGCTTGTTGTGAGATATTTTTGGATCAGTCATACATGGCTGTTGAGTTCATAGAGGGAAGAGCAGAAAGGATCTGAAGTCGATTTTTTTTTTTTTAAAGTTAATATTTTCCATTGCAAAGCGTGATTTAAAAAAAAGTATAAGATGTGAAGACGATACAAGTTAATTCAAGCTAAATATACATCCAATGTGAGTGTTATGGCATCGCCGTACCTTGTACACATACAGCTCATGGACCTCGTCTGAGAGTGTGGTCCCATCCTCTCTCATCAGAGGAGTGAAGGCAAAACCAAACAACTTTTTCTCTCCTTTGTCTTTAGCTGAAAAGAAGAACATGATATCATGCCTCATGCACATGTTTGGATAGCGCCGATTTTGCTTTTTCTTTTCCCCAGAGGGTTTGATTGTGACAGAGCTACAGTTGTGACTCACTTGAACAGTGTCTGAACTCAAAGCGAAGGTGGGACCCCCTGAAACGGTCGATAGGGATGGGCAGCTTGACCATCTCGCTCCAGCGAGGGCTGTTGTTGTGGTAAAGAACGAACGAGCGATACTCCGAGGTGCTCGGCTCGCCGGTGCCCAAACTGATGCAGTCCTGCAGAGGGAAAAGAAGCATGGGAAGAAGGTCAGGCTCGCTCTTACTCACATACTGATGATATGGGACATGAGAAGTGATGCACGTGTGTGTCATACTTTGAGCGTGTCCCCGTCAGCGTAGAGAACATACAGGGTGACTTCAATGTTCTTCTGGACACTCTTGCCACCCCTCTCAAACTCCCCTCGTTCCAGGGTCAGATACAGGTCATTGCGTGTATCACCTGAGGCAATTAAAAGTTTGGAGATGCTTTGTTTAAAGGCAACTGCACTAATTTTACACATTCATCCCATAATATTGAGCCTCTTATAGCTCCAGAGGGAGCTACAACTGATGTTCTTTTTTTTTTTTTTTTTGTAATTAAATGTAATTAGATGTAATTAAAAAGTAAACTGGATTAAAGCTACATAAGGGAAGTAGAACCTCTCCCAAAAAAGTAGACCGTGAAAATGTCTCCTTCATCTGCTCCACACGTGAACTCCGCGTGGTCAACATGAATAAATAATCTTCGTGAATCACATTCTGCGCCACTGTTCTTTTTAATTCAAGATGACCCTGCTGAGTTGAAGCACGCGCGGCCTCATGACTGCCTCAGCACCTTTTTGTAAGATCAGTGTTTATTGAGACAAACATCAGAGGCAACACTGGTGAAAGATATTGCTGTTATTTATAAAATCTGATTATTGTTATTTATATCAAGGCCATTTCCTTTGGGACAGATGACTCACAAGGAGAGATATTGGGGAGGCATTTCAAGTGAAGCAGAGAGAAGCAGGAGTGGAAAGGAGAGGAACGAATTATAGATGGTCAGTACAAACAAAGAACCACATCGTGAACGAATGCTGTACTCCGAGATAAACTCAAGCCTCACTGTCTTTGAGCTTGAGGACTGGTGCCCTTTGTGCCTCTTTACAGATTTTCTTTGTCTATTTATTGGTCACACATGTTTTGGATGACCGAAATAATTTCATAACCTGAGTAAATCTGCAACGTAGTTGAAAACATCAGTGTTAGTTTACCCATGTTACCTCATCAATTAACTGTGATAAACCACATTTATTTAAGCTAGCTCCAGTTTCACAAGCCACACTCAGGCATGACTATTCACCTAAACAGAACCTGTCTGACAACATGAAGTAGGCTAAAATATCTAAAAACAACAGCACATCATGCCCCAGTCTAAAGAACGTCAAGAAAAGATGACAATGTCATGAATAACTATCAGTCTGGAAAGGATCACAAAGCTATGAAGGCTGTAAGATACAAAAGGCTATTATTCTAAGAGAAATCATAGAAAAGAGGAGAGCCTTCCCAGGAGTGTTTGACCTACCAACATTAGTGCATTGACAACTGATCCAGGATATCAGAAAAGAACCGAGAACATCTGAAGCACTGGAGGCTGCAGCTGCTCCAGTTATTTAAGGTCAGTGTTCGTGACTCAACAACAAGGAGGAGACTGTACAAAAATGGTCTCCATAAGAGAGGTTAAAACCTTGACTTTGTCTCTGTCTAATATTTACCAAAAAAATATTGTGATGACCTTTTAAGACTTTGGAAATACCATTATGTCGACGGACAAAACAAGGAAAGTGTAACATTTTAAAAATGTTGCATCTGGCACAGCACTTCAGAAAAAGAACATCACTGAAGGAAGCTGATAGAGTGAGAGAGATGATACAGTATGGGAGACAGCAAGAAAAAGAGCCCACAATATCATATCTACAGTCTAACATAGTGGTGGTTGTATGGTGGTCTGGGCCTGATGAAAGATTTATTGTAAAGACCTGAAGGCAGTCGTTACACCAACCAATCTTTGGGTTTAGGGATCAAATACTTTTTCACAGCTCTGTAAATAAGCTTAGCAGCTGAGCTATAGCTTTTAATCTCATGCATTGTTGGAAAAAAATCTCCATAAATCTAAACCAAACAACACAAGTTACTGTTTCCAATTATACGTTCCTCTCTGCAGATCTCTGTTTCCTGCTGTTTTCCCCAATTCTGTCTTACATCTCTCCTGCTCTATCCACTTCGACATTCAAGTGCTTCCTGTTTACCAGCATCTGTGACCTTCCCCTCCTTCCTTTCCTCTGAGCCATCTGGCCTTTGGGCTCCCCCTCCTGTCTGCACCCCCTACCCCCTGCTGCTCTTTGCCTCTTTACCTGGCAAGATGACATCTGGGAAACCCAGTTTGCGTGTGAGCGCCAACGCCCTGTTGAACACAGCCTGGTTCTCCCGTCTGATCTGCTCCAGCTCACCTCGCAGCAGCTGCAGGGAAATGATGAGGCCTGCAGAAAGTGGCAGCGGGGGGTTTTAGTGGCCACATGTGGATGTGGGAGGGTGAATGGGAGGGTTGAGGAAAGAGGACAAATAAAGATAAGAAAGTAAAAAAATTGAGGAAGATAAAACAAGAACAGAAAAGAAGAAAGAGGTGGGATTTTTAAAGGACAACAGTCAGGATGTTGTCAGGATAGAGAAGAAATGGCCATAGAGATGCGATCAGAGCCCGAACAAAGAGAGGGGAAAATGTTAAGTTATTATCAATTGTTGCCATATTCTTAGAAAGAATTTAAATATAAATATTAATTAATATTTGAAATCATTGAATATTTGCAACTGATCCCAGATAGTCTTCACGGCGCACACATGGCAACGACTTGTCAAAGAGAAGGAAACCAAATCTTTAATTACCACTTTCACTCTAAATGGGAAAATTAATTACACCTATAAAGAAAATTTACAAATGGTAATGTAAAGAATAAACATAGGCACAACTATTTGTAATATCAAGCTGGTTTGTGATTTAAAGGTATGCCAATGCAGCAGATGTGCTCTGACTTCTTTTTGCTACCAGTATTATAACCCCCTGCTGGTAATTAGAAAAAGCACAGGGTCAACAAACTCTTTCACTGGCTTCAAAAAGCTCAACTGTGTCCATCTACAGCATAAACTCTATGATTTTATGTTTTTAAATGTTGATACTTGGTTGTTAATCAACTATCTGCTATGTCAGCAAATATCCAAACTAGTTGGACAGCTGTTTTTCTAAGTAACTACTGCAGTAGTAGTTGTCAGGGTGGTTGTAATAAAATAAAAGGTTTACAGTTTCCCAAATGTACAGATTCAGTTTGTTCTCTATAAATACATTTAAATCAATATTAATCTCTTCTGTATTTTTACAGTGTGATAATCTCAGACTAAACCTATCGGTGGAAAAATGTGCACAGTACATAACTGACGAGTCAAGAAATGTTTCCTAACAATAACCTAGAAGGTTTGTGATCAGAAAACACATTTACCATAATTGGTGCTGGGAGCTGAGTACTTGGTGTTGGACTTGCGGATGATGTTCTCGTGGACCTGGTACCACTCATTTTCGTTGTTGCAGCTGGGGAGAAAGAGAGTCGGACAGGGCTGTTTACAGCTCACCCGCTTCTAAATCCAGATGGAGGTTTTAGGACTGTGTGCATGGGGACCACATGAACAGCATGCGTCCCAGAGCAGACTTCCTCCTGGAGAAAAGGTAGCAGCAGGGGGAGTTGCTATCAAGCAGCACATTAGCCCAAATGCACAGCTCACTAAGCAAACCTGACAGCCAGCTCTCTACCAGCCTTTTTCATTACTGAGGGCCCAAAGGCCCCTGGGAAAGGCACGAGGAAATGCACAGACTGGAGCCTTATAGGAGCCGACAGTTTGGAGGCAGCAGCACTGAATCACTGCTTACTTTTTTAAAAGGAGGAGCTCTTCACGTTGCCAGAGAAATCCAATAAAGACATAAGCTCTCTGTTCAAGAAATCTTTCTTTCACGCGGTGCCGTGGTGTTGTCCTAATGCAACTAAATGGAATAAGTGCGTGAATGACCTCTGACCCACAGAGGAGGCAACAAGGTGACATTTAAGCTGTTGACTGATGAGAAAATATGCTGAGCTTGGTGTTATGTTGCTTTGTCCTCTAACTTTGCTCAATTATCTTTCTGTCATCCCGCTCCATCTCTTTGCCTCTTCCTCTCCATCTCCCTCCTCCACTTTCTTGGCCGGTGGAAAGGAACAGCTATCTGTGGCGAAGCCTAACAGCAGAAGCCAGATTCACAACATGCCAGGTGCCCTATATCCAACCCAGGGCGAGGAGCTATTGATTTTCCAAAGGACACTTCATTATCATTCCGGTCAAAACACACCAGCACCAACACTGAAGAAACAGGCTTTCACACACGTACAAAACAAAATCCACACTTATGCATTAATTACTGCAGAGAGTTTATAACTTTTATTTCCGAAAGGACACACAGCCAAACTGCAAAGTGAGCCAAGCAAACTTGAGAGGAACAACATTTTCATCAGGGATATCAAAAAAAAAAAAAAAAAGCAGACAAGTAACTTCAGCTGCATACTCACGTGTAAACTTTGAGTACAAAGTCCTTCTCCTCTTTGAGGTCTGTAATGGTGTGGAAAACATCGCTCATGGCAAGCACGGCACATCCATAAGGTCGTCTATACTGGACGTGTGGGGGGCCTTTCTTTGAGTCATTCAGCAGCATACGACCTGGAAACAAAACAAGGAGACAGTGCCTGAGAGGAATACAACAAGATCTTAATCCTCCAGAAAGTGAGTTTGTTCTTTGTATTTACCAGTTCTTATTACATGTGCAACAATGTACAGGTCTCTCTTCAAGTCTTTACTGCTTAGGTCCTATGGAAGAAAAAATAATATAATATATTGGATTATTAGAATAAGAAATGGTAAAATATTCCTCACATTTTATCACATTACAAAATCAAACTTCAATACATTTTATGAGACTAATGCAGAAGCCGGCCAAATGTTGACAGGGCAGAATCCTCAACATAATTTGATTTGGAGGACCCACCTGCAAATATTATCTATAGATTTAACAAGTAGGCCAACAATGAATTCCCTATATAGCCTGTTTAGCGATGTGTTTCGACGGTAAAAGTTGAAAATGTATTGTAAGGATTGGGTTATTTCCCATTTACTCATTTAATGTTGTAGTCATACCCAGTGAACGATGTTTTCAACATGCTGTACAAGTTAACGTTAATTTAAAGTCAAAATTTGCTCATTCTTGCTAACTTTAGCTCAAAGTTCTGAGATACATATTGTCTAAAAAATTGAGAGCTCTGAGGCCCTCTACTGGTCTGGAGGCCCTAAATACACAGGTTCACTTATCTCCTCAGCCACCTTTTGAATGTAAAAAAAATATATATATATATGGCGTGTAAATATATCATGACAAAATACAATCATTTTCAAGGTCTGGGAACATTTTCACAAGGCATCAAATGTCAAAATAGAAAGTTTCTCACCGTAAAGAGTGCACAAAGGCGATCAACTTTCTCTGGATTCTTTGGTCCTCCATTTTTATTCAGTTTCACCATGAACTTCTCACTGCAAGAGAAGCCAATTCACAGTTTCAGAGAGTCTGTCAGCCACAAAGTGCCTAAGTCAATCTGCTGGACTGAGACAGCATGTGTGTCTAACTGTGTCTGTCAGCTTATGCACACATACAGTATGTACTGTGGGGCCAATGGAGGCTGCTCTATTAGCATTGGCATTGGTATGTGTACCTGATTTGTTTGGCTTCACGAGAGTCATATAGAGAGAAGAAGACGTCTGCGTCTTCACTGATGCTGTTGTAGGTGAAGCTCTTCAGATTGATGAAGAGGTGGTGTGACACAGGGATGCGACAACCATCGCCATGACGCTGCCTCATGCTGTCACCCTGGTAATTAAGAGGAAAGTGACCGCTAACAAGTCAAGTTTATGCCAAAGACAGTCAAACATTTGTCCTTTTTATATGATGAAATAAATAAATACATGTGTATTTTCTTTTCTGCCATACTGTACAGTGAGTTTTGCCCAAATTAGCCATTTAATTAAGCAGCTACTCATGGAAACATGATACGCTCTGATTAAGGACTTCTTTGAGCAGCAATGCACCAATCAGTCAGAAAGTTTTCCCTTGAGCAGCTATTCCTGATGGAACAATCAGTCTCTTTTTACTGCTAAATAAATGCATAAGAACGTAAAAATTCAACCTCATATGGTTTGTACATGCATCATCAAACTCCTTGTTCTTTGGTTCGCTTTGATTTGAGATCAGTAAAAACCATTTGAAGGTTAGAAAAACATGCTTTGATGAATAAGTGGTGATAACCAGGCAGTTTCTTTTTTTCATTTTACAAGTTAGTTTGTACTTCTTAAAGAACACAAAACAACAGAATATGGAAATATGAACATTTTGTGCAATAATAAGCCCTGCTCTGTTTTTGAAGAATGCATTGCTTTTGTTAAGCTAACTGTTTTTGTTAAGTTTTTACGCATTGAGATTCATACATACAGTATGAAATTACATACTGTATGTAATGACATCATAATCTTTCCATTTTCCAGACTGGAAAGATATAGACATGAAGATTTAAAGTCCTACACACATGATTGCCTCCAAGTGCAAATCAGAAAATAGGTCAGAGTTCATCAAATTGAGCTGCTCTGAGCTTTTGACATCCTGGGGTGAGTTCTTGCATCGATTCTGTACTGGCACATTATGTGTGATGTATGTCATGTAACATAGCTGTGATACTTGCACCACAGGGTTTTTAAAAAATCCCCAAAAAAGCTGTGGTACCTTGACTTTGCTGGGGTTCAAATTGTATTTGCTGCAGTGTAAAATATGTAAGAAGGTGATGCTTCCTATTCAAGCACAAGAAAGAAAATCAAATGGACAAAAATCAGAATTTACTGGTCAGACCTAAAAGAAAATTGGAAATTATTTCCGGTAAGCACTTATTGGTGCAACTTTAACTTTAGGGATGCTGTCTGGTTATAAAGAAAGAACTATATATATATATATATTTATCAAGAAACGGCTTATTCTTTGGGGCATTTTAATTAGCATTTTGCAAAATGCTAATGAACTAAAGAACCTGGAGCATCTAATTTTACTTTTTATCATCAGTGTTTGTTACATTTAATAATTAAAATTAAACATCTTTTTCCATGTATACATAACTTTAAAAGAAAATTTAAACCTATTAAAGTTGAAAATTGATGGACAAGGCTGACTGGTGCATCTCCAGTTTTGTTTTCTGTATTACTTTGATTTTTACAAACGACAACAATCATAAACGATAAAGCTTTCTTAATTTTACTTTCGTTTCACAGTATAAGGTAGATTTAAGAAAAAACACCTAACAGCTTAAAATATTGCACCACGTTTGACTTGCATACACAAAACATGTAGCAAAAACAGAAAACTGAGATCACAAAGCTGCATATTGCCACAGAATGCTCACACACCAGAAAAATTTAGTGGACAAAGTATTCTCAGTTGGGGGCATGAACTGGGGCATATGTGATCCCAGTGGGAATCAATGCCCCTCACCCTTTGGTCTGAGTAACTCAGAGGCCACCAGTAACATGCTGCAGGAAAACCAAAACTGAAGTCTAGAAGTGATATGGATATTCTTTTGTTACATATTCTTTCGGAAAACAGATTTAAAATGGGAGTTGAGAAGAGATGAAGAGGATAAAAAGTGTGACAATTTGATAAATAAAGAGCGTTAAAAACAACTGTACCTGGTTTGTGCTTTGCTGACCACAGTGTCTGCTGGATACATGCTAAAAAAAAGTACATTTCAAAGGAAAGAAGTGTTAGATCCCTCTATTCAGTTTTTACACATCCCACACAGCCCTGAACTTATTTACATTACAGCAGCCTCAGAAGCACTATAAGGGCCTGATGATGCCTCTCTCGATTCTTCAAATCTGACAAGATTTCACCTACGTATGCTGCACAACGGCTACACTAGTGTTCCTGCAGAGCAAAGAGAAGCCCACACGAGGCGAAACGTGAGCATGTGGGCAGGGGAATAGGACAAAGCCGGCATCGCCCCCACACATACACTCACAGGCGAAGCGCTCTCTGCTCGGCAGCCTGAGAGAACACCCATATCCGAAGAGGTGCCAAGGCCTTGTGCCCTGCCAAAGACAAGCTCACTTTCATCACCAGAGTCAGGAGGCTTTCTGGCAACGAGCAGCTACACTGTTGTTTCTGCACAGAGCATTTAGTGCACAAACATTCTGCGTGTAAAGCTGAGAAACATGGCAATGGGATAATGGGAGGCTGCAGGGCAGTTGGACAATGTTTTCACCAGCATATGGAGCTGCAGCTACTGACCAGAAAGGATCTCCCTCCTAGATAACAGTCTCTAGCAGAATTACATTAGATTTCATAACATCTGTGCTGTAATGTTTCTAAAATTGGATCTGCTTCAGTAAGTCTTCTCTCTCTCTCTCCCTGTTTGTGTATAGGTTTGGAAGTCCCACATCACTACAACCAAACTACATTGGAGCCATTTATTTATAGAAGCATGTCTCTCAAGTGGCTTTTGGCTTGGAAAATATGTAATTTATGTTTAAAAATGTTTATGTGTGGGCTTTCCTATAGCTCCACTTGGGGCTGTCACTTTGCATTATGTTTGCATTCACAGCAAACCATCAAACTTGCGAGAATCACATGCATGCAATAAAGGCACAAGCTGACAGAACATGAGATGGCTCCGAAGGCAAAATCGTGCTTTCTCACTCACTGTTTTTTTTTTGTTTTGTTTTGTTTTTGAGTCATCTTCTTATGGATGGTTTGATAATCAGTACATTCACACATCCCTAGACATCCAACAACACTTTCCTGTCTGAAAATCCCAGTGGTGCAATAGCACAAAGGTACACTGTAGGTACAAGAGCTCATAGTGTGCTAGTCACTTAGTCATTGCTATAAATACACTTAATGCAAGCTGCAGGGACACTTTATCACCATTTCACAGTCCAAGAAGCGGACATGTATTTGAAACATGTGAAAGATGAGCAGTAATTTTTTTTTACCAGTTTGTATAACTCCGACACGCTGATCTGATCCGGATCCACCATTTCAAACTCTTTTCTGGGAACGAGGTCGAGGCCGAGGTGCCTGATAGAAAATAATCAATGGGAATAAAACAAAGAGAGAGACAGAGAGAGAGAGAGAGAGAAAGCACATTACAGGTGTTAGACATGTTCACTGATCGGGCATGACATTGTGACCACCAGGCTAATTGTGTGTTAGTCCCTCTTTTACAGTAAAAGCTAGACTAACATCCAAGAAGTGTGCTGTAGTGTCTGGTGAAGTGAACAACTTAAGACTTCATGGAAATAAACCTGGAACAGTATGTAAATTTAATGGTGCATTAACATTCATATACAGTCTACGTTTATACAGCATAATGAATTTCCTAAAGTAGGCAAGATCCTGTAGCTTCAAAGGCTTAAATAATATCTATGTAGACATTACCCTTTTTTAACCATAAAATCAGATCAGAACTAGTCTCTGATCCCTGCTCATTGCATACTTTAGCGATGCTACAAGCAAAGTATGACACATCACAGACTCTGTGACTTTTTCTGCTCTTTCAGGCACTTCAGTTGGACAAAAGAGTGTATTAATGTACAATCTTATTCAAACTAATGCTCCTGAGCTGAATCCCTCATATCTTTTTTTTTTTTCTCTCTTACAGATCCCTGAGAAAGCTCAGCTGGAGTTTGAAGAAGATGACTGTAAAGTTCCTGCAGGCGGATTTGCATTGACTATAAGCAGCTTCAGAGTCACTGATCTTCTAAATGACCATGAAATTCCATCAGTGAGGTGCCGCCGCACGCCCACATCCTGCGCTGTACATCACCCTGCTGCCAAAATATAAAAACTGATTCTTCTGGAGCCATCAATTAGGAACAAATGTTTACAGTCGAGGATGCCGTCAATTTGCCACACTCACTTGATTAAACACAGTTGTCAAATTATTACTCACTCGTTTCCCCAGTCCAGCCGTACGGTGATGTGCCTCTTGATCTCACGAGTCTGGTCCTGAGCGAGGTGGCCCTGGATGAGCTGCCGACGCAGGTCGATGAGCTCGTTCATCACATGGCGCAGTTTATGAAACAGATCCACCTTGTGTTTCTATTAAAGAAGCCGAAGACGGCTCGGTTAAGACATAAACAGGTTAACTAAGCTAAAGAATGGTAGCAGGAAACTATAATTATGTAACAGCAGCAGGATCACTATATAATATAAATTTACCCAAAGAAGTTTTTACTTTTTGGCCACTCTTAAATGGTTTCGACCAGAAGTGCCAAATTAATTTTGTTTTTGGGCCATGTCAAGATCACGAATGTCCTCAAAGGACAGAATGTATTGTTAAAAGCAAATTGTTAAAATATTAATAGACTACTCTGCATCTGATGAGTACATTTTAAAATTGAACATCTTTTAATATTGATGTAATTTGGATAGTATTTAAGCACTAAACTATAATCTTGAAATTTCTATTTATGTGGCTCTCTTGAGACTAAAGGCCACAGAAAAACTTATGGCGGGCTGGATGTGGACCCCGAACCTTGATTTTGAAATATGTGCTCTAGACCGTCAAACAATGCGTTAGACCAAGATAACCTGCGCAAATGGCATCCTTTTCACGTCGCTTTGGAAGAACGTAGCCCACAGTCATTTGCTAAATTGTTTGAGTCACATCAGATAGTTTTTCAGCAATTGGGAAGGCATGCTAGAAATAAATTACCTTTTGTCAAAATATCACAAACTGCAGCCTGTTGAGTTTGCTGAAAGTGGGATTTATACTGTAATCATATGTTTTGTTCAGATGAGACAGATATTTTGCAGCAGCAAACATTTAATGCTGCTGAATATTAATTCACATGTGCAAACCGACACCAAAAGTACTCAACAAACACAAAATCAAACTTCTGTCAAGTATTTAAAGTTTTTTTGTTCCATAGGGTGCCATATTTAAAGACACTGTATATCCATAGTTAGGTCTCTGTTGTTTAGCTTATAGGTGATAGCTTCTAAGTAGATGGGAAGAGTCCTGGTTTGCATGTATGAAAGAAGCTGATACTGGCAACATGTCTGCATCTAAGTAGGTCTGTGTCCACAATCAAGACAATAAAGCCTCGTTTAAGATGCTCTGATCCACTCCTCTGCCAGCATATGTAAGTCCTATAAGTCGTATAACTGTGTTTTGAGCCCACAGGTTTTGTTAATGAACTAATTAAGCAGAACAAACTTCCCTTACATGTCTGCTCTGACCTCAACATAATTTCATCATCATTTCTCATAAACCAAGGACAACACTTTTAATTTCTCTATGTTCTGTTTTCCCTAATGGTACGTCAAGCCACATTAGCACCCAGGTTTGTTTACATAAATGCAAAGATTAAGTGCTCCACAATGGCCATGTAAGTTTAATGAGGATAAACACTGCATGTTCTCATAGGCTGCTGGCTGGTGAAAACAAAGAAAATTGTCAGGGTTGATGAGTCCTTTGGGGCCTCGCTTCTGTAGGGCTAATTACGCACATTGTAAGAAATACACAGTTATGCTTAGGTCATTGCTCCCTGAAGTAACACCATCAAACCTAATAGGCAACAGTGAGGTGAAACCTACAAACATCTACCCAGTGCAACATCCTATTATTATGGATAGCAACACGGCCCATTCCACTCAGGGGGTGGGCACAAAACGAGCACAGTTAAATCAAGGCTTCACATTAGTCAAGCTTCAGTGGAAGTTACATCATCACACCAATGCCTCCGGCTGCTTAGCTGCTCAGAGCATGAGCAGTCCTCAGTGAAAGGTTATGTAAAAACTCAGAGCCAGCTCTGCAACGTAGCCACTCAGCTCCAATCTCTAAACCCCACCAACCACGTCTGCCTGCCCCCTCGACACTTAGTGGGATTAAAGATGCTTTGGTTTCCCAGTAATCACTTTTTCCCCCAAACAAGTAAAGCCTGACTAGAGTCAGTGGATCTTAAGAGGATGCAGTAGCTGCATGAAGCAGCCCAGGATCAATCAATGCCGGAAAGACGCACCATGAAATAGGACACGGCGGCCTTTATCTGCCCAAACACGAGCTCTAGTCCCATGTTGTAAATATAGATACATAGTTTTCAAATATTTATTGTAAAGAAAGTTCAGCCCATTGGTCAGATCAATATGCTGTGAGACAGAAACTTAAGGGACTTCCACTGTAATATTTTATGTAAATACCTAGTTCTGCAGTTTAGGTAAAGCAAAACGCCTCCATCAGAACCCCCTATCCTGCCTAGAAATGCAAATTACACAACAATTTATGCAGTTTCCTTGCCCTTGATGTTTTAGCTCCCTTGGATATCTGAGTAGAGTTAAAACCGTACTCGCTGTTATTGTTTTATGTGCTTTCTTTTGCAAAATGTGCTGTAACACATAGCTACTGACCACATAGAGCTGCTTCCACAGAATGCCCCATTCCTGCAGCGTTGAGGTGGTCTCTGTGATGATGGGATCCTCCAGAGGCACCACTGTCTCACACAGCCTGGGGTGAAAATGGAGAAGAAGAAAAAAAAATGTTTAAATTACACATTGCTTTTCACATGTTGCGTGTTATGACTCCAAGTGTTCCAATAACATAGACATAAATGGTAATAATTGGTGAAGAAATAGGGCTGCACAGTGGAGCAGCTGGTAGAAATGTTGCTTTGCAGCAAGAATGTCCTGGGTTCAAATCCCCGGGGACCGAGACCCTGGGATCTTTCTGCATGGAGTTTGCATGTTCTCCCCAAGTAGATTTTCTCCAAGGATTTCGGCTGCCTCCCACAGTCTAAAACCATGAATGTTTTAGACTGTGAATTGCCCTTTGGTGTGTGTGTGCGTGTGTGTCGAGATACAGTAACCTCCAAGTTATAGTCCATAAGCTTCTCCACTGTTGCCACAGTACAAACTTCAGTACGTTTGTTTATGTGGGAAACACTCTAAAGTACAACCTTATGAAGTGATAACAATACAGGGCGGATTCTCAGCTCTAAGGTATATAGCTCGCTCTACACTTAACTGAATTGCGAACCTCAAACAACATCAACAAACATCTCTGGTACAGGAAAGAAATGAGCTGATGACAGATTTTCTACCTGCAGCGTCCAAACATGACATAAAATGCAACTTAGAGGAAAAGAGATTTTCCTCACAGCTATCTGTGCTACATTCAGGTACTTCTGAGACAATTTGACTTAAAGATGTGTTATTGTAATAAATGGGCACAATCTTGCTTAAACATTTTTTTTTTAATCAACACTGATTACTCTCCAGTGGTTACATTGTTGTATAAGCTATCTACCGAAGCACTGCTAATGCCTCGTAGGGTTTGACCAACTGCCATATTAATCTGCCATATTAAAATGTTTACCTTCCTTAAGGACAATTATGCTAAACATACAGCCAGAGCTACAGTCCAGTCATTAAGCTAAAACATGGAGTGATGTCAAAAGGTGACATCACATTTTCACACCATTTCAAATGTACCTAAAAGACAACATAAGTACACAAAATGCAGTTCCTAAATGAAGGTGTTTATTGTTAAAAGAGAAAAAAATCTAAACTTGACCCTGCATAAATTGCCGATTTACGTGATTTACGTCTCAACCTCCAAATTTATGGTATAATTTCTAACATATGCACACACAGTGATCATGAAATTGTGGAATTCACCATTGCCTGAAATGTTAACTCTGGTCTCAAGAAAACTAAAACAGGCTTTTCTGTGTAACCTATCAACCAATGAAACCCAGTATTCCAACACAAATGCTGCAAAACATTATTATATCTCTAGACAGAAATATGAATTAGTCTGGTTATAGACAGAATATTTAACAATGCGCTAAATTAAAAAAAAAAAAAACAGATATTCCTTCCGTGTTTCCACATTCATTATGTGGTCGCTCAGAATGTTATACTGACCACAGCAAACATTTAGCATTGTTCGTCCATAGCTTGCATCTTTCACTTTTCTGATACGTTTATGTGACAAAAAGGAGGCCTCTCCAAATGTTTGATTCATTTATTTTCTAGAAAGTATGAGTAATTTGGTAACAGGAAACACATCAGTAAAGGTCAGATCTCTTGTGGTGCTTTGCACTTTGCTCGCAAAGCTCTTGAGTGTGCTGCAGAGAATTAAATGTAGCACTGCATAAAGTTTATAGTACCAGGCGAGCATCTCCATCTGTAACACAGTGTGGGTGGCTGATTGTCTTTGGCAGGGATGCTTTGGGAAAACTACGCAGATGCAGTAGGTGTGTCACCTCATTAACTTCATTAAACAGTGAAGCAAATTTCCCAAAGAGCAGATTTCCCAAAGAACTGCTCCCGCAGCGAGGAAGTATAATAATGTGTATCTGAAAGTCTGCACTTTTACTTGTTTGAGTGAGAAGTCTTCCTTTCTTGCAGCACAATTAGAGGACAAAGTTACAGTGCCTTGTAAAGTGTTCTTACCCCTTGAACAAAGCGTGTGGATACTCCTTCAAGGTGACGTGAAACTTCTACAAAATCAAATGTCCCAGAGAACAGCCAGCCTCAGATTGTTGAGTGATGTCAAATTAAGTCAAAGAGTGAAAAGGCCTGCTAATTTTTGTTCCTGTTCGTACTCTGATCAGTGCAACTGTGGCCAAATAATTTATGCCCATAGTGATGTCAACATCAATGAGCTGACACTGGTGGAACTGCAAGCTGCTGTTCTGTTCAACTGGAATCGATTGTATGTGTGACAATTGATTCCAATTGACAATGGTGCTATTCAAATAAAATGAACTGCATTTGGTCTCTGAAGTGTTAAATGACTAAAATTATCTGCAAACCAGTGACTTTCCTCATAATGATACTCAAGAATAGATAACAAAGTGGATTACTAATCTCAGTTTGACATACAACACATTATATTTACTTTTTGCTTAACTCTGATTGGTGGAACCCATAAAATGCCCCATGTGTCTTTAGAAGCAAAACAAACCGGAAACATGATCCATCCACACTCACTATCAGAAGCTGGTCCGGTTCTTCTTGATGTTGGAGTTCAATTTTCATCCTCTGTCCAAAACTGCACTTTTGTGCTTTTCAGATTAATATTTTGAGACATATTTTATTGTGTAGATTTAGTCACATGATACATTGAGAATCTGAAAACCTGGAAGTCTGACCTTTCTTTTTTTTGGTTAGCAGGAAAAAGCTCGATAACTTTTAACAAGCAGTTTTGACCAGAAAGGGAAAACAAAACAAAAACCAAGAGGATTGTCGTTTGCATGCCCTCTTCTAAAGATTTATATGAATGAAGCGACTTACCCTCTATTTGTCACTGTAGATTTCTTTAAGTGGACATAGCTGACAGGAAAAATACCCTGTGAATGGATAAAAGAGCAGAGCTGTTATAAAGTGACAGGCCTACATTAATGCCCCTGCTTTATAAAACCAAAATAGTCATTTATTATGTTAGAGTCGCAGCTTAATGTGCTTTGTGCTGCACTGGTAAAAAGAAATAATAATGGATTTTTTTTTTTTTTTTCATTTTAGCTAATGACCCAAAACATACACGAAGAGTTCAGATTTCCAGCTCTTTCTTTTCTTTTTTTCATATTTTGACATTTTCTCTTGCCTGTTTACATTTTCTGCACAAAAGGAAACAACATGAAAAGCTCAAACTGCTTTTACAAATCGCAGAAACAGGAGGCACAGCGGCCTGCAGGATTCCTATTGTGGTTCAGCTTAGCAGGGGAAAGGCCTCAGAGATTGAGTGTTCCCAGCTGCAGACGCTGAAGTTCATGCCTTTATTTTTTTGTATTCTAATCTGCCAGATGTGAAGAATTGGCCAAAGCGAGAACAAAAAGAAAAAGGAGGAAAAATTCTCTCAGCACAGTGAAACTGCACAGGCGAATGGATGTGGGCAGACTACATAACAAAATGGAGGGGTGTTGGTGAGAACTGTAAATAGCTGATGGGAGTAAAGAAGGACAGCATGTGGCTGCTAACACCTACATTTACCAGGACCTGACAGTTTTTATGCTGTCTTTAAAACAGTCCAGCACATAATAGAACAGCTCAGCCTCTAATACTTTAGACTCAAACCAAGTATGTACAGACAGAAAAAAATGTATACAGCCCTTCGATGGATTAAAAAAAAAAAACTCTGCTATTTGGGTTTCACATTAAACTCTTTATCAATATCTTCATATTGAACATTAAAGTACCAAACTGCTCTGCCTCTGTCAAACTATTATATACACAATGAGAGAACTACAAGAATTGAATGTGGGCTCCTTTGTCTTCAAACATTATTTTTGCTTGATCAAAGACATGACAATGCAAGAGGTATTGTTACATCTGGATTGCAACAGTCACTAAGGAAAAGATGCTCATTCTTGTTCTTTTTTTTCCCTCCCCTATCAAACCAATTCTGTGGTACAATTTCAAGTTTCAGAGGTAAGTATTTCCCCCCCACGACAGCTCATGTTAGCACCAGAAAAATATGGTACTGGGAATATTATTCTTCCTAAAGTAAGCTTTTTTTTTTTTTCTCTTAATCTACCCCAATATGAAAAAGAAATTTGCTATTTGCATTGAAATATAACATCAAAGGCTGGTGATTAAAATTATGGTTTTGTAAATGCAACTTTTGAAGTGTGGTTTAGGAAACTTCTATTTTTGTCAAATGAAAGCTACGTTCTTTTCACTGTAAAAAAAAAAAAATTCTCTCCAATTTTCAGTAAAATACAGTTGTGGTTGCTAGAATTTTACCGCATAAATATGACAAAATTTTACCATATTCGTACAGTAAAATTCTGGCAACCACAGCTGCGGGAAATGAAGAGACATTTTTTTACAGTGTAATTTATCTGGTCACAAGGTCTCTGTGGCAAAGACAGATTTATTTCTGTGCTTCAAGTCCCTACATCACAGTGTCACAGAAGGAAAATACATTCTACTAAGTAAAGTGAGGATTATTAATATTTTTATGATACAAAGTCTCCGACATTTACTTGCAACCCCCTTGAAAGTGCAGAAAAAACTATTTCTAAATAAATGATCTTTTATTGCAGAACTATAATGTCTGCATTTTTTTAGAAAATTCGACACTTGAGCTCAAATTTTATGTAGCAGACAAGAAAAACAAAACCCTACTTTAAGAAATAGATGCTTTCCACAAAATCATTGGTCCAACGACTATTGCTGCTGCTGACAATCTAAACACAATAAGTGTAACTGAGCAATATTTCCATCAATCCAATCATTATCTTCCACTTAATCTGGGATCGTGTCATAGGAGCAGCAGCCTAAGCAGAGAAACCGAGCTTTTATAATTAGAAGTGATTAAACATTTCATTATTATTTGCAAAATCTAGTTGAAATTGAAATTTAAAACAGATTGCAGTTTAACTACCTTGATGGATGGCTTCTTGGTGGAAAAGCCTCTGTACCAACCTAGAGAAAAGGGAGAAGCAGGACAAACATGAAGCAAGATTGTTGAGAGGAAAATGAAACTGAAAAAATTTTTCCCATTTTTTTTTTTTTTTTTTGTTCACAGTGAAAGAAAAAGTTTATTTCTTGGAAGATAAAGGTCATATTATTGTACTTTTTTCTGCAAGCGGCTAAGTTTTCTTAAAGCATAGACGGAACAGACAGATCTCTAACATATGCTAGTTTCATCTGTTAGCAAAGCTTCATTAAATGTAATAGCTTTCTGGATGCTTCTTGCAGTTTCACACTTAAATCTGCCGTATCTAAAACACAGCCATTATCAGCGTGCATGTCTTCATATTCTAGTTGTGTAGCATTTCAGCAGCATTAAGTGGGACTATTAATGTTTTGACTTCTGTTCTTTGTTTTTGAGCTATTTAGTTGATGTGTTGCCATTGCCGGATGGCTCGCAGTTGTTGGGTAGAAAGTAGTGTCAGTCTCTTCTTTTAAATCCCACAAAATGTTTTTGGTCGTGAATTTGTTCTTCACCGTGGGAGAAAATGGATGTGAGAAGTGACAGAGTGTAAAAAGTGTGAAATGTGTGAGACTTGACAGCCCTGGTTTTTTAAGCCTGCTCCATTAGTTCTTTTTAATACTGCAACATTTGTCTGCTTTGAGTTGTGCCATCAAATGTAGTTTTATTTTTTCTTCCAGACTGACAAAGAGAACTTGACTCAAGGTTCCACATGTCTTCCAAGGCATTTTTTTACTTGACCCATATATTGTAATTTACAAGAACTTTGCACTATTATTTACACACATAAAAATAATTCGACCACAGTAGTAAGTTGGAGTTTGCAGTTTTGTGTGGAATTAAACAGATGCATGAAACAGCTGCAACTTGTTGTGTTTATAACTAACGGAAATAAGGTGGTCAAGTTTTGGAAACTTATTCCCTTAGCTCATACGCTTAACATTTATATAATTTCTTTAATCCAAATGAGGCTGGAACATAAGGTGTATTAATGAAACATTGGGTCAAAAGCTGTGACTCAGTTTGCTGGGCTAGAGGAGAAATTAAAAGGAGTTTCATTCGACTTCTCAGGTGGTCATCCTGAACGATGACCACCAACAAGCTGGTGAAACTTTAGTGGATCTTTTCCACAGAAAGCTGCGTAACGTTAATGTGAGTCAGTTGTGTGAATGACTTTAGATGACAATAGAGAATGTGTTTGTTCATTAGCATTAGCATTGTACCTACTGTAAGCACAACACAGTGCTAGTATGTCAAACATTTACTTTGACCAAAATATTGATGTAACGTCAATATAAACCGACTATTTTTATTGTCTTTATATTTCTTTGCAATTTTCTTTGAGAATGTTTTTGTTGTTTTTCTTCGAGCTGGGTCAAACCCATAACCCGACTCTGCTGTGTTGAGCTGTGCTGGTCCGTGTCTGACCGAGGAATGACTTAATTAAACAAGGTTTTAAGGGTTTGATATGCATGAATCTGAGTGGCCACTATGTGGGCCAGCATGTCTTTTGTCCTGTTCCTTGAAAGAAGTGATTCTGTTTTCCCAGTAGTGTCTGATTCTTCCATGTAATTGCTGTTCCTGCCAAAAGGTGACTCATCACTAGAGAGCAGTGCTTCCAGTTTACTGTAAAAAAAAAAAAAAAGAAGAAGAAGAAGAAGCAACCTCTGTGCATCATTTGAAACATTGGCAGAGTTGGGACAAAAAGAGAATGACTTTCGGTTAGTCATCATGACTTGTGTGATACTACCTACAGTGAACTGGCTTATTTGGACGAGCACTAAGCACATCAAACAAGCAAAAGAAGACATATTTTTAATAAAGGTCATTATCTTTTTATTGCTAAATGATAAGCTTCTAAAAGAAAATTCTATTTGGAAATTAGACCCTGAAGTAAATGTATTAGTAATTTGGTTGAAAGGAACTGAGAATAGTCCCTGGAAGCTGAGTTGAATGCACAGAGTAAACTTGATCTG